TTTTTTTTTTTTTTTTTTTTTTTTTTATAAGAGACAATTTCATTGATGAGTGAAACTTACCGGGGGGATGTATAATCATGGTGTTTACAAAACCACAATTATTTTTATTTTTTTTATTTTTATCTTTTTTTTAATTTCAATGCAGGCAGCCAAACCGTCAAGAAGATTAAGGGTCACCATAGCCTTCAATAACCTTTCGTAAAGAATGTTTTCCTTTGGGTCAATTTTCCAACTGTAAATGATAATCCCAAATTAGTTTCCATTTTCCATCCAATGGTAAATCCAAAATCATCGCCAGTGGACTTCAACAGCCCCTTATCAGTCATCAAGAAGGGGTTGATGATTAAAATTGCTTCAAAATAATGTTCGAGTGTTCGATGTTCATTCCATAAATTGTGCGCACAAAATCTTGAGACCACAAAGAGCTTGCTAAGTCAACTCCTACATTCCTTTTTCTTTGTTGACCTAAAATGAAAAAGAAATCTGAAGCTTACTCAAAAAAACTGCAGAATTGTTATTGCCCTCAACAACCTTTGAATGTGTCCTTACTATCTCAGCATACCATCAACAAGAATTCACCTTGTCCTCAGGAATTACATCAACCAACTGCTGTTGTGGATGCTCCTTTGAAGAAAGTACTTTATTTTCAAATTTCAATAAAAATTTCCTTATCTTCCAAAAAACTAATCATACTTAATTATTTGGACAAACTGGAACAGTCTCTGCCAACCCCCGTGGGAGGCCAAACAACACTCTCAAGAAACCATCATTGTTGAAGCCTAAACTTAGATAAACATAAGTATATCTCTATCTTTCTTGAGGAATTTAGAAAAAAAAAATGGCATATGCAAAAGATCTAACAAAAAACTCTCAAATCAACCGAGATGTTAGAGGGATAAAGGGAATAATTGTTTAAATGTGATATCTTCAACAAAAATTATTTCCTTTACTCTCTAAATACAGAAAAATATATTACGAACACGACTCTTGACTTCCATGATGAGAGAAAGATACTAAGCAATACCAATCAACTGAAAATTTTAAAAAAATTGGACTGAAAACTAATAACCTCAACTGAACGGACGAAAAGAAAAGAACTCCAGTGACGAATGGAGGCTAAGAAACCAAGGACAAGAGGAGAAAAGGAGAGGATAAGCTGTTTACCCTACCCCAAGCTCCTTGTTGTGTTTAGAGAACCAGATATTTCTGAGAACATTTAACATTTTCATATAAAGAACAATACATCCTCATTTGTCTTAAATATCAAATTTCTAGAATAGTTCAAATCCATAAGAATTCTTTTTTCCATCTAAATCCCATAACAAAAAAACTCAAGAAAAATTTAAAAAGAAAGCAGTGTTAGAAGACCAAAAACATGCACGAATACAAGTGCCAATCAATATAATGCAAGAAATGGTGAGATTCTTTTTGTACATCATGTCAAGAATGTAGTGTACTCGAAATTTACAATTTATCTTTTTTTGAATAAAATTCTATATCTCTTGAAATCTGTTCACATGACAAGCATTATAGTTTGCAAATACAAGCTAAATATTGGTTTCAACAAGGAAAAGTGACCGGGCAATTAAAAGAATTCTCATTATCAAAATCAAATTCAAACCAATTGGGGGGAAAAGAATTACCTTATCAGGATCTTGTAATTCCTTAAAGGCGTTATTCAATCTAATAAAAGCTTGGTTGGCCTGAGGATGAGAGCATTTGTCTGGATGCACTAAAAGTGACATCTTCCAATACCTGAAGAAAAATGCACCAGAAATTATTGAACAGTTCTAAGAATATATTAAAAAGATCAAGTTTACCCAAACCTATTAGTTTTGAGTTTTTTGAAATACAAAATTCTAGTCATTGTCTAAAGCTAGTGCTTGGAAATAGTAAACTAAGAATGAAACAAAAACCGCCATTTAAAAAGGATGGGTATTGAGGAACAATCATAGGTTCATATATGAATGCCTTATACCTCTTCTTAATATTTTCAATAGAAAGGTTTCGGTTCAATCCGAAAATGTCATATGGACTATCTCCCTCAACATCCATAATTCTTGCAACCTGAGATGAAATATGATTGGTTAAAATATTACATTTTCATCAAATTCTTGTGCATCTGTTTTTTTTTTTTTTTTTTAAATGACAAAAATACAAAGGCATACAAAAAAAGAAAAAGAAAAAAAAAGCAAGGAAGAATGAGTCAAAACTAACTACAGAAATGAACTCCAATCCAAAAGAACAAGACCAAGGTCATAATTACGTAAAGGCCTTTTGACAGACGCACATAAGGAGGCATTAAATCTAGCAATCTCCCGAACCTCCTTACCCGACTAAATACCCCAGAACACTTTGCCTCTGAAAAGCACCTCCTCCAACCTAGATGTGGCTGGTCTATTCCTTTTATAAAGAGATTTTTAACTTCAAGTGATATCCTTGGGTAGAACGACTCACTTTTCAACTTATCATTCTTGTAGCAATGGAAATAAAATAAACTTAAGACTCCTCTTCCTATTAGCATCACAACAATGAAAGAATACACGGGCATACCAAAAAATCAAACCCACTAAAAGAAGGATTCCAATGCAGTCTATTGAGATTTAAGGAATAATAACAAAATAACCGTGTCAACGTCGCCCAAAGAGAAACATAGAAACTCATGAGAGACCAAATATACTTAGGCTCTAAACTCCTCCGAAGGTTCTATTTCTCTCACCTCACAACCCCTACAACAAAGCACAAACACCACCATGCCACAAGAACTTCCTCTTCTCTTGAAACGGAGGATGGAGAAGGAACTCTTTGATCACCTCCCTGAGGTCTCAGTGTCTAGCACACAGGCAACCAAAACTCTGAAAAAAGACAAATTTTCTAAGAAGGCTCTAACCGACATAACCGAAGGCTCTAAGAAGGAAACGAAATAGATAGAGATACCATTCAAAACAGAACAAAGAGAGTCAACCTACCCCCTTTGAAGAAAAAACTTCTCTTCCAATTACCCAATCTCTTTTGCACCTTCTCCCTAATAGAATTCCAAAAGGTGAAACATTTTTGGTTACGGCCAAGAGGGAGACCTAAATAGGACGAGGGGTAAGTGTCAATTTCACAACCCACCAAGCCAGCCAGCCCATCTTTCCCACTTGTCGGGCTCATAATTAAACCAAAGATTTGACACTTACCTCTATTAATCTTAAGGCCTGACATGGATTTGAAGAAGGTAGGACGTGGCTCAAAACAAGGAAAGACTCCTCCTTATCATAACCGAAGAAAATAGTGTCATTTGCAAGTTGAAGGTGAGATAAGAGCACTCTATCCTAACCCACCTCAAAACCCTCAACAACCTTGCCCTCCGCTCCTCTCAAGACCAATCTAGTGAGAATGTCCACCACCAGCAAAAAGAGAAAAAAGGAAATAAGACCACCTTGTCTCATGCCTCTAGTAGTGTTGATCCTCCATCTGGATTTATCATTAATGAGGATTGAATACACCAATCTAATTCAACTCCAAATCCAAGAGTAAGAGAGAGATTTAACTAACCCCAGAGGAGAGGGTTGACAATCAACTCAACATATGGCATGTCCTCCTTTTCCAATAATCTTGGAAATTTGATACAACATCAGGAGATTTAGACTTGAGAATTTTTTTTCTTATTCGATTTTTTCCCACCAATCTTACATCAAGTATAAGTAAAAGCAAACCTCTTCAAATCGTTCTGCCTCATTGGCTGTTTCAGCTTCTGCAACCATAGCAGGTGGTGGAGGCCCAACAAATAATTCATGGTCTTCCTCCAACTCAACTTCCCTGAAAATATAGACAAGATGGAAATAAGTTATTTCACTAGTACCTACACCGTTATCCTAAACAAATAATTTAATTCATGATCTAAAGATTACATGATCAAATAAACGAAATATATAACATGTCGTGGAATACCTAAGCTCAGTTTGTGCTTCGGTTAGTTTTGCTGCAGCAGCAAGAAGCTCAGCTGATGGCATTTCAGGGCCGAGCATCCTGAAGCAAAATATGAAGGAAAAGTAACTGAATCTGAAGCACGGCTATATAGGATTAAGTAGCTAAGGTAAAGAATTACCAATTTTTTGTCAAGGTACATATGAAATAACAATAAACATCTTTTATGAAAAAAAACAAAAAAACAAAAAAACAAAAATAAAAAACATACCACATGAGGTACATAAAAAAACTAATAATGGAAATACTTTTAAGATGCAAATGTTATGGACTGGTTCATTTCATATTCCAGATTCATGCTTCCAATCACTTTTCAAAGCTAATTGGGTATTACAAGCTATATAGAATGAAACGGGGAAGTAAGCATAATTACCTTCTTTTAGGACCAGTGGCTTCACCATCTGGGTGTGTTAAATCTGACACATTGTCCTTGCTTGATTGTGTGGTTTCTGTATTCAAAGGTGGTGACGACTTATTATCCGGAGTTACGGAATGGTCAAACTGGTTCTTCTTTTGTTCCATATGAGTTTGAATAAGCGGTCCAATAGCCTCTAGAGTGGGATGACCGTTGGAAGGTAGTAGGAATACCCTCTCTTGAGATTCTTCAAGGTTTAATGAAAGGAACAGCTTCTTTAAACGCTTGGCCAAAGTCCTTTCAGAAATCCCACTGATATCAACAGCTTGTCCATCATCAATCATACTGAGAAGCTGTTAATGAATAAGATTATGAAAGTAAAAAAAGTGAGAACAATTATTAAATTTAATGTAAGAGAATTAAGAGATAGTAAAAATAAACAGCAGATAAGTTTCCAATGTCTTGTATATCATCTATAATTCTTAGAAGCTGTTGTATATGAAGACCGAGGAAAAAAAGAATCAGACATAAAGAGTGCCACGGGGTAGTAAAAATAGATAGAAAATATATGCTAGTATCAAGAATGTAGATAAATCAACTAGCAAATTAAATATTTAACAAGAGAAATTTTTAAACCATCAAATCAATTTACTTGATTTTATACCCTATCCCATGACCAGATAACTTTTTTGAATAACAGGTCCCAAAAAACTTCAAATCATATTCCAACATCAGCTCTCAACAAATTAATGAATAAAATGATGAATTTTCTGTGTTTGTAAAATTGATTTTTTTTCTCAAATATTTTGTTTCTTTTTCTCTCGAAGATTAAATTAAATTTGATAAAATTGAATTGTTTATGAACTAAAATTTAAATATCTAATTTTGCTAAATGACATTGAAAATAAAACAGACAATAAACTCATGTAAATATAGTTAAATTAACTATTTAAACATCAAGACATCACCTAATTGCCATACTCAGAAAACAGGAGGACCCTGTTTACACTGCTGAAGTTTATAGAATTACAATCCAGCAAAATCAATTTATATTCAGAGCATAAGTGTAGGAAGTGAACAAAGTTTAAGGACAGCAGCATTTTCAGATGTAAATTACCAATGACATACTTGGGAATCCTTTTGAACTAATTCAAAAAAAAAAAAAAAAAAAAAAA